CCCCAAAACCCCAAAACCCCAAAACCCCAAAACCCCATTATTCAATAATTTAATTGAAGATAAATATATTTCGAAATGAGCGACAAAGGTAGGATGGGACTTTTAGGAAGGGAAGCCAGCCGCTGGTTAGGAGGCCGGGATTGGAGTAGAGGATTAGGAGGGTTCTTAGTGAGGATGGGAGGGGGAGTTAGGGAATTGGGTGGGTGTGTAGGTACAGTTACATCTGTCTATACCAAAAACTATTAATTTCGAAAAGATAATTCATCCTCTATTTACAAGTGTCTTTCCCCATAGCCTAATAATTTTTCTAGAACTCCAGAATGCTCCTCGAAGAATGATTCGGAAGCCAATCCTCAGCCTTCATTGTCGTAACAGAATCTTCCACAATAGAAGTATGGAGAGGATTTCAAAAAAGAGATTTGATACGAGCCTAAGGCACAATTATAGCCAAGAAAAATTGCCTGTTATAAATTATTCTAATAACCCAGACACTTCTGCTTTGCTAGCACCAAAGAAATACTCTATTAGTATCCCAAAATTCAGAAACCTCTCACGGATGAAGAGAGACAAGCAATATGAGAAACAACTCAAAATATTACAAGTATGAAAACTTTCTTTTGGCACTAGCTTTGGTTTAAAAACCCATTGTTTAGGGCATGAAAATTAATATTACAAAGCCTATTCCAATTACCAAGAATATTAGGGCTAATAAGGCACTAAGTATTACGGATCAGGGATGCCAGACAGAGCAGGACATAATACTCAACTCAAATCCCCAAAAACTCCAAAGTCATTTTACTAGCCTTAGGAAGGAAAATCTAAATCTTCCTGCTCTTATGAAGATCAAGAATACTGCTATTTTTAGAGATTACAAAAGAATTTTGGAGCCTCTGAAACACCATCAGAAAACTACAAAGAGGCTGAACCAGTTCTTAAAGAGTAGCTATCGGAAGAAAAGTTTACATAAAGTTTCTGATATCTGTAAAAGTTTTTCTTCATATTTAGCTGAATTAAGATCGTGCGAATACCAATCAGTTTCATGTGAGAGATCTGTGCTCAATACCAACCCTAGTGACAGATCAATCACGCCTATGAGGTTTAAGGCGCTCAGGAAGCCACTAAAGGAAGATATGAAAATATCTAGCATAAGCAATGCTGAGAGAAGGAAGATTTTGTGTAAATTACAACACAAAATAAAGTCTATATGTCAGACTTCCCAAGGTATTACTATGGAATCTAATGATTCTTCAACTTATAGCGATTAGGTTCAATTTTGATACTATTTTTGGGGTTTTGGGGTTTTGGGGTTTTGGGGTTTTGGGG